GGGGAGTCCCGGTCTCAGCTGTCCTGCTGTATGAGCAGTGAGTTGCATCAGCGTCATCTTTAAGCCCGACACTAGGTTGGAGGGGCTTCTTAGTTCCATCTCAGTCGGAGATGGGTGTCATCCCTTGCCTGCGTTCACCCTCCAGGGGAGAGTGGTGGCGAGGGGCTTCTCAGTTGGTCTGTGGTCTCCAGAGTGCCAGCCCTTCCTGTGGAGCTGCACTGCCTCCTGGGGAGGGCTGGACTAACTCACCGTGGTGATGGCAGGCCCGACATTGGAGGGCCTGTCTTTTTCTTGTTCCTCCCAAGCACTTTTGGGTAGAGCAGCTCCTTTGCTCCTGGCTGCTATACAGTGCCCGTCTTCGCAGGTGGGGAGGTTGAAGCAAAGCTTAGGGAGCATCTCTAAGATCTTTGAACTTAAATATCAGAGTGGGGCCAGAGCCTGGTTCTTTCAGCCCAGGACCTTAGTGAATGGCGGCTGTTTACAGCATGCCTGTTAGCATGTGTCTGGGCTGCCCCAAAGCCCTTCTCTTCTTTCTGTAACCAGGCTATGTGTCAGAGTAGGGGTGGGACCCACACTTTTGCAGCAAAAGAATATTGGGCCCGGGTGCCCTCAGTTCCAGCCAGACCCTCCTTTGGGGCCAGAGTCCTAATGACTTCCCCTCACTAGGCTGGTCCCATCTCTGGAACCTCAGGTGCTTTTCTATTCCGGAAAATTTATATCTTGAGGTTTTTGTGGGTAAGAGAAAATGACGTCACCAATGACAGGTCCCCTGGCAGGCCCCTGACAGGCCCCACTGTGGTTTGTCTGAGAAAATAGCCCTTTGGTGCTTCTGTGACTACTACAACTTTCCGAAAAGTGAGAGTGGCTCTCTTTTACAGTTATGGAAGGCACTGCATGTTGCCGCCGCTGTCCTCTGTGGGCGAGGAGAGCTCTGCTCCTCAGCAGAGCCTAGGTCTACAGGCCATAGCAGCTGCCGGGACTCCTGATCCATTGGCAGGTGGTCACAGTGCACGGGTGTCTTTTCTTGTTCCTTGACCTGGGTACCACCCCTGGAGTGTAGGAGTTATCTGTGTGCATGGAGGAGTTACTCCAGGTTCTTAGGCCTGTACTGGATGCTTTAGCAGGGATCTCTAACAGCCTTTAAAGTAAGATGGGCTGGGGATGTTGCTTACTGGTAGAGCACTTGGTTAGCACGCATGAGGCTCTGCGTTCAGTCCCCTGCACTGTGGGGTGGGATCGGGAAGGGAAACTGTTCCCTCCCTTTCTGGGGGACTTACCTTCATTTTTGGCATGCTCACACTCCTGTGTTTCATCACTTGCTCGCCTGGTGTTTGCTTTCCCTGCTTTAGGTTGGGTATGCGGCAGGTACACGGCAGGCGGGAACCTGGAAGGCTCAGGAAGGTTTCCTGGAAAAAGGGATTCTCAGTTGAGCATAGGCTTAGGGATCCCTGGGAAGAGCTTGCCTGGCACAAGGACAGCACCTCGAGGCCAAAGAGGGCTGGGCAGGTTGGAAGGGAAGACCTGGACAGGGCTGGCGCATTGGCTTGGGCCAAGCCTGGTTGGCTGTGTTTGCATCGGCTGGCTGTTTGCCAGAGATCTGTGCAGAGTGGATATATTATTAATCACTTCCAGAAGGGTGGCTCATGAAACCCCATGCTGGTGATGGGGTGACCTTTAGTGCTACTGCTGTTGGTGCCAAGAGCCCAGTGCCAGGAGCCCAGCCTCTTCAGTTAATGTGGAAAAGAGTGGTTTTGAGTTTGCATGGCCGTTTGATTGATGGTCCTGTCTTTGGCCAGCACTTTGAAGCTGCTCTTTGAGAGCTGTTTGGAATGGAGGGAAGGGCCGGCTCTGGAGAGTATGGGATGAAACCCATGTGTTCCTGCCTCAGCCAGGGTTTGAACACATGTCATGCGCAGGTGCAGTAAAGTGTTGTGGGGATAAAAATGAATGGGGTGGGCACAGTCCCTGGTCTGATGAATGCCAGGGGCCCTGGCTCGTCATTTCATCGTGAGCTAGTTATTCTAGCTTCACAGATGAGTGAACTTGGAAAAATGAATTACTTCCCTTGAGGTCACACAATCAGTAAGTGATGGGTATGAATCCAGATCTTCTTATCTCTGAAGCATGTGTTGCCCCATCCTAGGAGCTCAGGTCTGCTGGGGAGACCTGCTCAGAACTGATAGCTTGAATGTTAGGCCCACTGTGGTGAGGGCTGTGATAGGGTAGAAGAGGGGAGAGGAATCCTGACTTGGCCTGAAGTCTCTGGGGGGAAGGGAGGGCCCTTGGCAGAAACACTATTCCCCAGCAGAAGCCCAAGCAGGAGGTAGGAGACTAAGCAAAGGCCTTGCAAGGAATGGCTGATGGGTGAGCGTGTGGCTAGAGGGCACAGTTTCTTAAGGGGCCAGTCGGCTGCAGATCAGCCTGGCCCCGATTTTGGAGTTTGTCTCTGGCCGTGTTGGGAAGGACATGAATACCCCTACTTAGGCGTGCAGGATAGAAGTGGCATTTGTGTCATTTCAGCTGTAAACGTCATACCCTGAAGAAACTTGTAGTAATGGCAAATAGATGTCTTAACATATGTGGTGCCTGGGGGTTATGAGCCTCAACAAAGAGTGTTTGATTTGCAGTGTCTGCTCAGCGCTATGAGCCTCAGCTGTGCTTGATTAGTGCTGTCTTCCCTGAGTAGTGGAGGTGTGGCTGGTGCAGGGCTGCCTAGATTTGCATTTTTTAAATCAATACTTTCACTATATATTGAAACCATACCATTGAGTGAGATTCTTTTGATTTTGATCCAGTGTTTCCTGTCTAGTGGTGCCCTCTCCACTTGCTGTTGACCCTTCTAGTACTCTGAAGGCAGCAGGGTTTAGTTTGGGGCCACATGCGAGAAGGCCAGTGACCTGAGTGGGCTGAGTTGGGACTTGTCAGATTAGTGATGGGCCCAAATTAGTGTCCAGGGGCAGTTTCATGAAGGCCGGTGTGTCAGCAGGTTTTATTATCATTGTGGGTCTCCTTTTGTACTCCTGTCTCTAGCCACAGGCATTCTTTACCTGGGGCCTGTGGATGGAATTCAGGGTGGCCCATGAGCATGGATGACAAAAAGAAATGCACCTTTATTTTCATTAACCTTACCTACAGCGACTGTCCTGTTCAGTGTGACTGTGGGCACCAAGAGGGTCAGTAAACAGACCCGGTCGCTAGGAGAAATGCCAGATATTTTCATGTCATATTACAGTCATAGTTTTATTTTCAAAAGCAGTTTACCCTTGTCACAACTTGAGAGTTATAGTTGCTAGACTTACTGTTAGATATTATTTAATACCTTAATAGAGAAACGTTATTACCTTCTTACAGTTTTAATTACTTTGGAAAATGTATTTAAATATAACTGATTTTCTTTGTAATCCTAGGGGTTTTGTGTATTTAAAAGCACTACTGGGCTGGGGATATAGCTCAGTGGCACAGTGTCTGCCTGGCAAGCACAAGGTCCTGCGTTCGAGTCCCAGTAAACTCCCCCCAATAAATCAAATCATTGCTTTCAGTGATTCAAGCCTCCGCAGATCACTAAAGTGATCCAAGATGGCTGTAAGCTCCTGTCTTAATCGGAAATGGGAAGCCTTTTTAGTTATTTGAAATTTTAAATTATTTATTTATTTATTTTGTATGAGAGTGTGTTAACAATCCTTATTCATTGAAGATGTATACTGAGATATTTACAGATGAAAGGACAAAAAAAATTGATTAGCAGCGAGACTACTAAACCCTTGAGGAGGGTAGTAAAGCCTGAGGAATAAGCGTGTCACCAAGGGACGGGAGTCCATGCCGCGTTTTGAAAATGGTACTTGCATTTAAAGTTTTTCATTTCTCCTGCTACTGAGGATCGAACCCAAGACCTTTACACTAAGTTACATCCTCAGGTCTTCTTTTACTTTTTATTTTTGAGTTGGGGTCATCACCCTCCCAGAGTACTGGGATTAGAAGTGTGCTCCTTCGCACCTGGCTGGCTGCCTGCCTTTTGGGGATGCTGGGAGGTGGGAGGCCCAGGGACTTTTATCACCATCTCAGCGGCGCTCACTGGTCACTAGATCATTAGATCTGAGCCCAGCCAGGCAGCTCCTGGGTTCTCCTGGGGTGGTAGATTCATATCCTTTCCGTCTGGTTGGAATGGTCTCCCCTCTTTTTATCAGTCCAGTCTGACCTAAGTCAGGCTGTCCTTGTTCAAACATATTGTGTTTGCGAGTCTTTGGAAAGCGTTGGATACTTTTCCTGTAGGAGATACATACATTCGTGTGTTTGGAATTTGCTTGTGTCTTCGGGCTCACGTCCCTGACTGCCTGCCTGCATGGAGCCCAAGCCTATGGGTTTTACTAGCGCCATCCCCACCCAGCAGCGGCCAGTATGTTGGGTATTCACCATGTGCACAGCAAGTGCTGAGAGCTTCATCTCTTCTTATCCCTACCCCCAGCTTCTATTATTGCCCCATTTTCTGAAGGAAGAAACTGAGGCTTTCCTGGGAGCCATAAGTAATTTCTCCAAGGCCAGAGCCAGGGTGCAGTTGAGGCATTGGATCCCAACCTAGGTGGTCTGATTGTGGGTGGGAAGCCTCCCGGTGGCCCACCCTCCTACTCCCTCAAGTGCTCCCCACTCTCTGGCCTGCTCTAGGCGCGAGGCTGCTTCTGCTTGGCCTGTTCTCTGTTCTGACTGTCTTGCCCAATACTCTGCAGAGTGTGGTCCTGAAGGCAGGCAGTGTCACCAGCCTCAGATGTAGTAGGGGACTTGTGACGCCCAGGCCCCTTGCTTGCCCTTCTGGACCTTTCTCCTTCCTCTTCCCTCTTCCCAGCTGTAGCCCCATGGGTGCGTGGCCATCAACATAGGGGCCCTTCAGGCTCCCCACCTGGTGGCATCGCCGTCGTGGCTGCCAATGCTCCCCTCTTGCACACTCACTTGGGCCAACATATGCTTGTGACGCCACTCAATGTACCTTCTTCCTGTTCTTCCTGCAGGCCAGACTGGTGCGGTATATCTGTAAGCAGCGGCAGTGCAAGCTCAGTGTGGCCCCTGGCGACAGGACTCCTGAGCTCAACAGCTATCCACGCTTCCGAGACTGGCTGGACACATTCAGCGTCAGGCCGGAGGTGGCACAGGTACGTACGTGAGTGGGACCCTTGTTGCAGGTGCATGGGGCAAGCAGAGACCATACGCAAATCTGAGGGCCTGTTTTCCGGGGGCCTAAGATGAAGGGGCCGTGCTCTCCACTCAGGAAGCAGGTGTTGGGGTGGCCGCAGGGGCTACTTTGAACCTGGAGGATGCTGGGGTGGCAGGTGGGAGTCTGAGGGGGTGCAGAGAAAGGTGCAGCATATACTGAGTCAGGGGATATCTGAAGCACAGTTACAACTTCAGCCGAGCTGGGTAGTCAGCAGCTAGCTCGTCTGGATCCAGGGACCAGGCAGCAGAACCCCGATTGTGCCAGATGCACCTGGCGCAGACAGGGCATTCCTTGGGATGCGGAGCTCCAGGAATGGAGGAGATCAGGGCAAGACAGCAGCGGCACCCCTGCCACCCTGTGACCTCTGTACTCAGAGACCACGAGGCAGCGCAGAAACTGAAGTGCCACCACCTGTGTTCTCCCCTTCCCCAGAAACGTCTATTCCTTCTTCCCACCCCTTCTGTCCACCTCCCTATGTGGTGGCCTTATCCACCCAGGTGCGCAGGCCACAAGCCCACGAACCACCCAATTCCTCCTTAACTCTTAACTCTGCAAGCCCTGCGGCCCTGCCTGAAGTGTGCCTTAGAGCCATCCACCATCCCCCCGGCCCCCGCACGGTCCTGATCATCTTTGCGCAGACCCCAGGCCCCCACAGCACCACCTTCGCTCGTCTCCCTGGGTTGCCTCTTACCCTCTTCTTCCCACTTCCAGCTCCATATCCAGAGGTACCACTTAGAAACCTTTATCAGACCTTATCATTGCCCTGGCTTCCCATGTCTTCCAGAATCAGTGCCAGGTGCCTCGTGTGCTTTAGCCTCTGCCGGCCTCTCTGACTTTGTGTCCCCCTCTTTCTCTGCTCACTGTGGTCTGACCTTTGCACTTGCTCCTTCCCCTCTGGTGTCCTCCTGACTCCTCAGTGAGCCTCCTTCTAGTGCTGGTTCTCTTGCTGCCGCCTCCAAGTGGTCTTCCCTGCTGGTGTGATCTCAGGTGTTCAGGCTAAATGTTAGTGAACACCGTGAGTGCCCTTTAAAGTGTAAGACAAAGCAGTGTTCTGCTCGGCTGTGTAAAGCGGGCAGTGTAGAGAGAAATTGTGTTCTTTGTACCTGGAGCAGACAGCCACACTTAGACCTTTCCCAGACTTGTGCTTGGTTAGATGAAAGTTAGGAGTCCTGTGGCAGTCCCTGTCCCTGCCTGCTCCTTCTGCAGCTGTGCAGGGACATGCATGTGGAGTCAGAAAGGCAGAGACCAGGATCCCTGCGCATATCCTCTGCTCTGTTAGGCCAGCCGAGTACCTTCGAGGATGAAGGCTTGGTACCATTTTCTCTCTGGCGTGCTTGTCCTGTTGGAAGCTCAAAAGTCCCCTGCCCACCTTGTGGACCGGCAGGACAGCTTGGCTCCCATTGAGCGGGGAAGAGTGCCGAGGCTCTGCCAACTGTCTCATGGGACAGCCCTGACTCAAGTGTCTAGGTCCTACAAGGTAGGGCTGCCCCTTGTTAAGCTTCAGCCAGGGCCCTAGAACCCGGGCCTGGGAGGCAGAAATAGCCTTGAGCGAGGCTAGGATAGCTAGTCTGGCAGGGTGGATACTTCTAGAGCTGGGCTTCTCTGCCTGACCCTGGACTGTGGCCTAAGGAAAGCCTCCTTCAAGGTGATTCAGACTGCAGAACTTAGTTCCCTGAAGTAATCATCCGATGTGTGCACCAGAGAGGTTTAGGCCAGAAAGCCCTGCCATGATCCAGAGGGATGGGATGTGAGGGGAGACCAGAAAGCCACAGCATCTGCCTGTTTCCAGGCAAGCATTAACACACACCACATTGACCTGGCTGCAGTTTGTAACATGGCTTCTGGAGGCCCCCCTGGGCGGCACTGCAGGTGGGCTGGCCACAGGTACAGCTGTTGAGCACTGTGGCAGAGGATGCCCAGGTGTGGGGCTGGTGGGACCGGGGAGGCTATGGGGTGCTCAGGTGGGTTCCTCTACCTTTTTTTACTTGGTGAGCTCTGGAGTGGTTACTTCATCCTACGTAAGTGAGACAGTGGTTCATCTTCTAAGCCCTGTGTTCTTCTGGAGAGTCAAGGAATCCAGAAGGGGAGAAGTCAAGTGATGTGGTTTGGGGAGGACACAGCTGTGTACATACACCCTCTACATGGTGGCTTTGCCTCATCTCCCAACGGTGTCACTTCTCCTGTAAGCTGTAGCACCCCTGTGTTTCAGAAGGGACCGCACAGCTCTGTGCTTTCCTTCCAGGCTCCATGTGATGCTCCCATCCCACGTGGGAGCAGAGAATTCTTCCCTACAGATGGTAGTTTTAACCTCCTATTTTCTAAGCCTGAAAGTCAGGCTTTTATCTCATGTTTTTAATTTTTTTATTTTATTTTATTTTTTAACACAGAAGAGATGATTTATTGTATACACTTTACACTCAGCCAAAAGCAAGAACAGAAGTAGTCCAGAATGCCACAGGTCCGGGGCACAAAAAACAGGAGACTGCTCAGTTGGAACCAGGTGGATCTCTTTTTGAGATGGTCTTGGCGATCAGATGGCAATGAAGTTCTAATCCACTGAGACATTCTAGACAGCATGCAGCCCGAAACTTGCACCAGCGTTGTCAGCCTCCAGCATTCTTTATTTCTGTTCTTTTGGCCTCCTTGGGTGTGTGAGCTACTTTACTTGGACCTCTGTCTCATCTTTCTTCTTTTACGCTTTAGCCTCCGCATTTGCTCCTTCCTCCACTTGGCTCTCATGGCGCAGAGGTTCCTAAGAAGATGGCGTTAAAGTCGAGAGTTTTAAAATTTTTTTTAAGACAGGCTCTCACTGTAGTTCGGGTTGACCTTGCATTCACTGTGTAGCCCAGGCTGGTTTTGAGCCTGTGGTGATTCTCCTGTCTCAGCCTGCTGAGTGCTTGTGATTATAGGTGTCTGCCACCGCACCTCACTTTCTCATGAGCTTTGGGCACAGATTTTCTGTGTGTTCTTTACCCTTCCACCTCCTTATGTGGCCCACATAAAGAGATACCAGAAGCAGGCAGATATCCAAAGATTCTGAGGAATGTGAGTTTTAACCTGCTTTCCACACCAAGTGAGTATGAGCTGGAGTCTTGTAGAGTCAGCACACAGGGAGCTGCCTGCTGTGCTGCTGGGTGACTGTCCTGTGCCCGGGCTGGGAGGTGCCCCGACCCACTCCTTTGCACATGTAACAGACATTGGAGTCCACATGCAAATTTGTTTCCCTCCTGTTTGGGGTTGCTAAGAGGGGACCGTGCAACATATATTATTCTAGTCTTAATTTCATTTTGTATTAGCCTATAATAATCCACCTCATTCTTCTTAACCAGTAAAATGAGTTTATGATGGGCTGGGATATAGTTCAGTGGTAGAGCTCTTGCTTCATGTATGAGACTGTGAATTCAATTCCTAGCATGACCAACAAAAAACAAAAACAAATCCCCAGAAAGAGAAAAACAAAAACAAAGACAAAAACAAACACAAACACAAAGCCCCCCTTTCCTCATGACTGAGTGGCTGCACTCCTGCTCCGATAGGTGCATGCAGTGATAGATGACATCTGCATGGGGCTGTGAACCTGTGGGCAGAAGAAGCCAGGTATACCGCAGGGGCCCCTGCCCAGCAGCGTGGTGCCTGTCATATGGGAGGCCACTGGCAAATACTTGCTGCCGAAGGAGTGCTGGGCAGGACCAAAAGTCCCTGTGTGAGGGTTGCCAGAGAGGCCAGACTTAAGCAGGCTCTCTCTCTGCATCTGTCTCTCCAGATCCATGCAACCTGGAAGTTGGGTTTTGCTAGCCCTACCAGTGCAGAAGGGTCTGGCGTCAGTGCAGCCCAAACCTCATGATGGTTTGCCCTAGGGCTGCTCCTGAGACCTCTGGGATAGTTTTTGTGAGGTGGAATGTGTCTCTTCAGACCTCTGTTGACCTTGACTCTTCATGGCTCCGTGACCTAGGCTCTGATTCTTCCCTTAGGAAAACACACATGTGAATCATGTGCTTTGGAAGCTGGGAGTGTATGTGCGCATGCGCGTTTGTGTCTGAAGTGTTGCCCTCTTAGGGTTAGCAGAACATCACTTTGACTGTTGTCTGAGGGTTGGACGGTGTTTGTGCGGGTCAGAAAGTTTGCAGGAAACTGTCTTTTCTGCTGGATGTGGACAGGAAGTGGGTGTGAATGTGGTCACCTGGTGATAGCTGTGCTTCCAGGAAGGGGTAAGGCTCACGGCTCTGAGCTGTTTGCTTCTATCCCCAAGTGGGTCACATCCCAGTCCTCCAGCTCAGAGCCTACAGTGGCACTGTGACATGTGTGACCTGATTCGTCATGTCCTCCCTCATCTGGGTGCTGGAGACAGCTTAGGTGGCCCTTCCCTGCCACCTCTTTCTGGCAGGACTGGGTAATAGGAACGCTTAGGCCCACCTTCCAATGTGGCAGCCCTCAAAGTGTGCGCATTGTAACTGAGAGCCTGGAGTTTCCATTTTTATTATAATGAATTTTAAGTGTACGTTGGCTGTTGCTGGGGGCTTGTGGGTCTAGGGTCTCATTGGAGCAGTGTCCTGTGCTAGCAGGTGCTGGTGTGTGTGTGTGTGTGTGTGTGTGTGTGTGTGTGTGCGCGCACCAGGGACGCTCCCTGGTTCCAGGATAGGGGGAAATGCAAATCAAGAGCTGGTGCCAGCTGCCTTTACAGGCCAGCATGGGATGTGTGGGGACTGTGGCAGATAAAGGCCAGTGCTGAGAAACATGTCCTCAAGAGCCACAGGGCATAAGGAAGAGCACCCAGACAAGGGGACAGCATTCCCTGAGACCCTGAGTGTGGGAAAGCTGGGGCTGTCCTCACCCAAAGCACTGGAGACGAGAAGCTGGTCCGGAAACTGGGTCTGAAACTGGGTGAGCTCTGTGAGGAGCTGGGGCTCTTCTGGGGGATAACTGAAGAATGTGTGAGAG